GCTCGTATTTAGGTCGACACGACAACATAGCTGAGGCCTAGATGCACTAGCCATTGACAGTGGTATATTCTGGGTTTGTTTAAATTGATGTATCGTCGCGAAGTAGTCTGGAGACCAAGAGTATGCAGCCACAGTCAGAGACGGATACGAAATAGCAATTGAATGGTTTGGGCGGAGTTTCTTCCGAGTACTCCGACGTGAGGTTTTCATAAGTAGGAAATTCTTGTTTACGTTGAGAATATGAGCGCCAGTGGATATAGCTCCAGCCTTTTATCGGCAAGATGAGGAGATCGAGCGTCTGGGCCTGCCGGTATGGATGGAGATCGTAGAGTCCCACTTCCAATATGATGGTACAGCACCGGGATAGCCGATATGTTTATCCTGACGGCTCGCTGCGATAGTTATTTTTGACACCAACAAAAGACGCATTGTCTGAGTAAGGAAAAGGTGGCGACCGTCGGAATCCACAGCAAGTTCTTGCGGAGTTGCTTGACTCAAGTAGTAGGCGTGTCAACGCATGGGGCCGCTTCCCCGAACTTGCGGGTTCAGGCCGCCAGCGAGGCTGACCGGCCAGCGGCCCCCATGGCCATGAGGCAGCCTGGCGACCTGTCTTTGGGTTTGAAATTTGCGGCTGAGTTCAGTGCGACAGAGCTTGTACCAGTTGGTGTTTCTAAACATTGAGGAGAGAAGAAAAGCGATGTTGATGAGATGTCGGTAAAGGACTGCAGAGCCGCAGAGCCGCAGAGCCGCGCAGGATGCGGGCACCCGCAGACACCCCGCTTAAACTGCCTAAGGCCTCTGCAAAATCATCCAGCGCGTAACTCATCGTTTGGAAACACATGGTGCACGGTGATATGGACTATGGGAGCACTTGTAAGTTCGACCGGTGAGAGCGTCGTGTTCGTGGTTCTACCTAGGAGGCAAATGATGACATGCCGCCTCGCCACTCCACGCTTATTGTGCCGCAACACAGGCATACGCCTCATGCTCCTGACATTTCAGCAACCCCAACTCCTTCAACCACTCAAAAAGGATCGCGATGCCGGTTCTCAAGCTTGTGCCACGTTCCACGTCTGTTGCACTGCCCTACGCGCCGAGGCATGGTTGGTCCAGAGCGGCGTGATTGGATTCCCGACCCATAATCCTGTAGCCGCCGAAGGCACCTCTTGCATGGTTTCATAGCCAGGCTGGTGCGGCGATCATGCAGTCTTCACGACTGCGCCGCAATATTTGCTCCGACCATGTACTGCATATGCCCGAAACTTGTACTCTGGGACAGAGTACTAACTCCCACATCCTCTCACGTTCTGCGTGTGTGCGAAACGTCAAGTGACTCCCTCAACCATGGCGACACCCACACCATCCCCCACATCGAAACATTTCAACCTAACGACCACTCAAGAGGAGAATGCAATCGAAACGGACCTGGCCCTTCCTGGCATCAAGCGCGGTATTGCCATTGGAGTAGCGTGTTCTGTATCGATCGTCGTTATCGCCATTCTTGCTTTCTTTGCGATCAGACGAAGGAACCGTGTGCTGGCTCGGAGAGCACAGCTCCAGACCACAAAGAGAGAGTCGATAGACGCCGAAGCAGGACCACAGGAGAAAGCTTGGTATTCTACACCCGCGTCATCACCACCGCTGCCAACACCACCACCGCTGCTTGTTGAAGCCGATGCTCGGATTATCTACGAATTGGATGCAGGCCAGATACCAGAACTGCACGGCGATACTGCTGCGCAAGAAGTAGAGGGAAATGGCAACATTCACGCCACGTCAGAAGCGGAAGAACTGTACGTTCGGAAGCTTGAGCAATGGAGGACTTGGAGCATGGCACTGGAGCCGGATACAAGGACTCGTACCACCGAACCCGTACGTGCTCCCGTACCGCTACTCATGGTTTCACCACCTGAGGCTTCTCCTGGTGGAGTCTCGCCGTTGCAGCGCTTGTCGAGGGACTACACCCCGCAGGACGGCTCGCCAGTATCACCGCCTCCAAATGTCCATTTTCCATCGGGTCATCGCGAGTACACCAACCATTGAGAGAGAGAAATTTCCAAAATTGGCTTCCCCGTTAGGAAAGCGCGAAAAAATGTATTTTGTTTCGTAACGACATGAGATGCTAGCGGACCGTCAACACGACGCTTTCTTATCCTCGATACTCTTCGAATCGACGTGGTACTGGTCGTCTTCGTCATCGATTGGCGAGTCCGGGAAGAGCCGCTCCCCAGTGCCTTTCTTTTCGTCGTTTGGAAGGACTTCGGAACCTGGTAATTCTGCAGCAAAGAGTCGACGGTCACCAACGGCCTCCACGGGAACAACAGGACTGGCGAGTTCAGAAGCGCTCTTCTCGCTATTACACCCAGCCTCCATCTCCGCTGGCCCGAGGGCTCCACATTCGCTCCCCTTTGTCGCATTCTCCAAGTCGTACGAACTTTGTGACAGGGTGCTCTTCCGGCGTATTCCAGCTCGCCTTCGACGCACGCAAAACCAGCCGCCTAGTAGAAGTAGTATGACAGCAACGGCGACTGCTGCGCCGATACCAGCGCTCGCGCCAACGCCCAGACCGCCATTTCCGGATTCTAGAACTGCGGGCGCTGAAGCAGAGGCTTGCGTCGAGGTTGAAGAAGGAAGAGAGGTTTGTGAAGATTGTGATGCATCGGCCGGTGATGGTCTCCCAGGAGGACCCGGTGTTGGCGGCGTTGGAGTTGGAGCAGGTGCAGTTGAGCTCACGTCGTCATCGTCATCATCGTCCCTGTCCTTGCGGTCTTTCTCTGTCTCAGTCGGGAGCGGCACAGTCGGATCTGTGGATGTCGACATGGCGGATATCACGATGGTAAATGTATAGTAAGAAGACTGCCAGAGCGCACGGCGACAGTTGTACAATAATGTGAGCTTCTAGTGACCAATTTTGAGATTATCTCCAAAATCATTTGCACTTGCTACACCCCACTTACATATGAACATCAATGTCCCAGGACAATGGGCATCGACGACGACACCTCATCCATGTTTTCGCGTTCAAGCATCGGCAGAGTCGCGGCACCCATCGCTCATTCGCAGACGGTCCTAATAGCGCGTCGATTCCGCCGGCTCAGCCTCGTCTCCTCACGAAAACTTCGGTCAATTGTCATCTTGGCCTTACCTGCTACAGGCCTGACTTTTCCGTGCCTTGATGTTGGGTCTCGATAGGCCAATGACTTTGATGCTCCCATGTAAGATGGGAGACGCGTCCATCGGGGCTCCGCTGTGCTGTCGAGTTCGCCAAGCTGCGGAGGCCATCGCCGCGTAGTCATCAACTACCGATCCATTCGACCAAAGTTTGGAATTGTCTTGCCCTTAGAATGAATATCATTTCTGCGTGGCGACTTTTGTGTAGTGGTGTGCTTCGGGCTGCGCACAGTAGGTATGTATGTATGCAGGAGCTCCTGAGAACTAAGGAAAATTCACGGGCCAGCCGCTACATCATGCAGGGCTAATGACATTGACCCAGGAACTGGAATTGTCGATGCTGGGCCTAAGTCGAAAGTTTTGCCATTCATGGACAAGCCGCTGCACAACACGTGGGGTCTCAGGCATCGCTAGGTATGATCACGCCGATTAGGTTCACGATATTGGGTTCATGGAAATGCGCGCAAATTGCCATGAGATGTATGACACCTATCTCTTTAGAGGAAAAACAGCGACCTGACGGCGAGGAGATGGTTCGAGTCAGTGCTGCGAAGCGTGTGCGATCCACATGTCGGCGCCATCGGAAGCGAGTCCGTCCCGTCCGCGGTGTCCCCTCCAGCCTCCCCGCCCCATCGCGTTGCACGCCGTTCAACGTGCCTCGACGCCGTCGCTCGCTCTATGCAAATGCTCCTCCTCTCAACCGATCATACAAACCGAATGCTGCCCAAGCAAGAAAATCAGCGAAATCTTTGACGCCGCGCGTCTGACTGGACTCTGGACCGGGCTACAGACTGCAGCTCTCGCAATCGCTTTGCGGGACGCATCTACTGTGAGATTTTACGGTACACCCAAAGTTTTGAGTACATTAGCACGTGGTCTATGTACAGGGACAGATGCCTCGGGATGCTGCTGATTCGCTATTGCTGTCTGAGTAAGCAGGGGCCATGGAAAGTATCACTACCACCGTAGTGCCCGCGGAACAAAGCCGGTCGAGAACTCCTAGGGGGAAGAAACTAGATCGACATGAATTATACTTTCAGCCATCCCCAAGGCAGTCATCATTACCGCATAGGATATTGTGCCATCTCGAGAGCACGGTGGACTAAGATCGATCTTTGGCGGTGCGCCCATACACTTGCATCAGCTTCTTCCGCGGGATGAATGCCACAGGGTCTCTTCCGTGGCCTACAGGCATGCTATCAATCTGATAGACTCTGGTGCGGCTCCTCTGGATGGTCGATCAGCTAGATTGGTGCCTGCGCCTGCCCTTGCAGGTGATGGGGACGAAGAGGCCATCAGCTAGCGCAGAGCGGCACACCCGCACTTCTTCAATAGCGCGACATTTGAATGGGGAATCCCTTCGATAATCGTCTGAGTAATTGCATGTTGAAGAGGTGATCTGGCGACACAGAACCATACAATGGCAGAGGTTGGCAGAGAACCATGATACGTCGACGGCGCGCCTGGAACCAAACACCAGAGATCCAAAGGTCTGGAAGGAATGTTGTTTTTCGTTCCGGATTGCATGTTCTGGCATTAAGAGCTAGCTTCGCACGTCAGTTAGGGTTACCGGTCTGATGGAAGAGTCTAATACTACCGCCCAAAGTCCTGACGAAAGACGCCACACAACGGCTGACCGAGAGATAATAAGGGGATCCACCGGGTCTATTGCGCATTCATCGTGCATATCCCACAGGCCACTCGCCCCCGTAAGACTACGCCGGTTGCGGCCCGACCTCTACGTGGATTCATATGCCTTCGGGCTCCTCTACACAGATTGTTGCGGATCTTACCTTCATTTCACATTGAAACCACTGAGACCTTGCATTATGGCAAGCCAGAACTCCAACCCCAACGCAGACCCTGTCTTCTTCGGTGGCATAGAAGTCGACATCACCCAATTCGATTTCAGCGACCATACTTCGAAGGTCAACAGTCTTACGATAACATGCGCAGTCTTCATCGCTCTGGTGGTGTTGACTGTCGGTCTCCGCCTCTTCGCAAGAGCGAAATACGTCGGCCATATCTTCATAGACGATTGTACGGGCCAACCTATTCCCTCACAAAGGTCCCAGCTGATATATGACAGTCCTTATCATTTGCGCGGCCATCTTCACTGTTGCTCTGGCTGCAGTGTGTATCGCTGGTAAGCAGCAAGTATTTCGAGTGTGGAATCCAGCTAACGATATGTTAGCGACCCAATATGGCCTCGGGCGACACATTTGGCTCCTACCCATGTTGACACTCTTCGACACTTTGAAGGACTGTATATTGGTAGGTGCCAAGCTTTCATTGGGTGTCGTATTATGGATATGGCGATCGTCATGAATGTTGAAAATGGGCTTATTGAGCTGTCACAACTAACGCGCTATAGTATCTCTTCATCTGCCAAATCCTATACGCCTTTGCTATTGCGTTGACGAAGATCGCCATCATATCGTCGTACCTGCGTTTCATCCACGACAAGACCTTCCGCATCTGGATGTACGCGATATCTGTGTGCATCGTCGGTCTATGGATTTCGGGTAAGACAAGCCACAGTTACCGACACGTGACATGTGCTGAAGTACTGTTAGGAATCTTCGTCACCATCTTCCAATGCCGTCCGGTCCAAGGAGCGTGGGACTTCACCCTCGAACCAGTGTGCGTCGACTACGTCACCTATCTATACGCCAGCTCCGCCGTTAATGTCGCGACGGATCTCCTCCTTTGCGCGTTACCTATACCTCATATTTGGAGGCTGAACATGCCAAAAAGGCAACGAATCGTTCTCTGTGTGCTACTGGCAGGAGGTGCAAGGTATGTGTAGACGGCAGGTCATCGAACTTCGCTGACGTTTGATAGCGCAAGCATATTGGGCATTGTCCGTATTGCCTTCTTGGATCGTTTACGCGTCCTGGATGTTACCTGTAAGTATTCCTTCGGTTTGAGGATCATGATGGAGGGTGTCTTTGGATGCAGTAAGCAGAGCACGAACTGCTATACCTGCCACCAACAGAAATTGCATTGATGTCGGCTATTCCACTCGAACATGAGAGCTAACAAATATACAGATCAGAGTGTCGAGTGCGTAATTATGTCGGTAGGCGAGTGCAGTCTGGGAATCATCTCCGTCAGCATCGCTGCTCTTCGTCCAATGGCACGGCAGTTCTTCCCCAACGCGATGCGAAACTCTCCCTCTTCCTCGTCCAAGCCACGCGAAGCAGGACACGTTCGCCTCGAACACATACCCTCAAGCCAGGACAAGGATCAGTTCACATCGGACAGCAAACATGATCTGTCAGGTTCATACGGATCGCATACACAAGTCTCTTGCTAGTCATCTATGTATAATCTAGACAACGTTTACAAACCTCCGTACGGCTTCCCATCTCGCATACCGTCTTCAAATGCTGCAATGTCGATTCATACTGTCGGGATACTATGAATGGCTGAGTGGTGACTTCGCAAGTCTTTTGCGAACATAGCACAGGCAACGTGAGCTTCATTTGGCACAAAGAGTCCAGCGAAGCTTATGTTACCAGTACTACATTTGAATCCTTGGCTGCGTTCCTGACCTAGAAGAGAAACAGGAATGACGAAAGTCCTTGGAGGTTGTCAAGCTCTCGAGACAGGCGACCAAGAGCGGGACGGAACGCCTTGTTCAGCTGACCGCCAAGAAAGCCAAGCCGTCAGCCCAATCTCGCGCTTTTCCATGGCTGGCTAAACAACGATTGTAATTGGTCCAACACCCTCACGACGTCACAGACCATTACCAGAATCGCGTCAAGCTGAAAGCAGGCTGTGTTGGCGATCTTACTCTGCGCGCGCAGGCTGTGTACAGCGTTAAGGCGTCCACGGCGTAATTCATGAAGCACACCGCTTGTGGCCTGAATACATAAATGCGATGCGTCGCGCCTCCTTTCCATGTGCATACAACTTATCAAATCTGCCTCAAGGTTACACCAAAGACTCATTGCGGCGGCTCATACATCAACCAGTCACCCTTGATCTACTCATCAGTCTATAAAACCCTACCTAAAACCCATTGCCCCCTTTACAACTCTCCATCTTCAAACTACAAGCTTGCAAATCTACCCCAAACATCACCACCATGAAGTACACAGCAGCAACCACTCTTCTCCTCGCGACCATGGCGCTCGCCAGCCCAGCACCCGTCGCCAACCCAGACGCGGTAGCTGAAACCCAACTCATCGGATCTCGCGCCCAATTCCGCGAAGCGCTTGCCGCACGCGACACCCTAGTTATGCCAGAAGTTCAACTCGAAGAACGAGCCAGCAGCAGCGGCGGCAAAGGAGGAAGCAAGGGTGGAAAAGGCACTGGTGGAAAAAACAACACCGAAAGCGCGGCGTCCGACATGCTTTCACCAAGTCGCGCTCTGCAGATCACTGCACTGGGTCTGGGCGTTGTGGAGGTTGTAAGACTCTGGGGTTAGACGACGCGAGCGAGATGGAGCTATGCGGGTTGAGAGCACGGTGCCTATCATTATATTGGGAGGAGAGAGGCGGAGTTTGGTGTGGTCACGACATTTTACTGAGCGATGGAGTCATGTTAGCATGTTATTGTATGATATTGGAGTTCGATACCACGGCATTCGGAAATCAATATGGAGTTCACAACACCACAATCTTCTGCTTGCAGGTTAAGCTTAAGGCGCCCGCTACGTCACCCCGCATGTGTGCCACAGCGATCAAGTTTCTACATCTGACACGACAAGTCCATGCACTGGACTACGAGGACTGATGACGATGGTATTGACCCGGATCGGTGAACTCAGTGTGTGTTGTACACCGAGTGATTCACTCCATCGTTAAGATGATCATCTCAGTAAACAAGCATAGCCACAGTGTGGCGGTGTTGATCAAAGGACAGACTCGATATGGCTGAGATGATCAGTGCACAGCCACAAAGAGTTGAGAGATCAGCAAATGTAATAAACCTGAACAAGTTCACCATGTGCAGATCAAAGAGATTTGAAGTATGAAGAGTAAACATTAACACTGGTATCTGCCGCGGCCTAAACGCTAGAAATGAAAAACGCCGTGCAAATGCTATGCCCCAAACGCTGCGCTATGCTATCGGATCGAATAGAATCCAAAACACTTTTTGTTGCCATGAAGCAATGTTTACAAGAACTTGTTGATCATCTTCTTCCAGCCACTGGCGGAAGATTCTTCCCAGGTCTCGCTAACTTCGTCCTCGAACTTCCCACTCAGGAGATCGGCTTCGGCGGGGTTGATGAACTTGCTCCTGGTAACGAGCTTGTGTCCAATGTAAAGTACGGCGAAGAGAATTAAACTGATGTATGCGATGAAGAAGTCTTCAACGCTCCATGGGACGAAGGCGGTGAAACCTTGGGTGATGGTGATGATGGCGCAGAAAGTGACACCGTAGATGGCGAGTGGGCGGCCACCCCATGACTTGAATGGGAGGGTGTCACGGTCGATGTTCTGAGCCTTGAGTGCGCGCATGAAGCTGATGTGGCAGATCAAGACACAAGTCCAGGCGATGAAACCTGCGACGGAGACGATGTTGAGGAGCCAGTTGAAAGCTTCTCCACCGTTGGCGCTAAGGTTCATGTAGGCAAGCAGACCCATGGCGCCGGTGACTGAGGTCGCCCAGTATGGGACACCTCGCTTGCTGGTAGCCTTGAGGAAAGCAGGGGCACACTTCTCCTCCGCAAGACCGACAAGAATACGGCTACCAGAGTAGACGTTGGAGCTGGCGGCTGAGAGAACGACGGTAAGCAGGATGGCGTTGAAGATATCGGGAAGAGCGGAGACTCCGGCAAGCTGGAAAGCAATAACCATAGGAGATGAACCGGCGTTGGTATCACCAATCTGGAGAGCCTCGTTGTCGTAGGGGACCAGAATGCCAACGAAGAAGATTGTGAAGACGAAAAGGGTGAAAATGCTCCAGAAGGTCTTTCGGATGGCCGAAGGCATGGTGACACGAGGGTTCGCGGACTCTCCAGCACCAATGGCGCAGAGCTCAGTACCCTGGTATGCGAAACCAGCCTGGATGAGGACAGCCCAGAAACCGACGAACTTGGCAACAGGGCCTTCGGCAAGGTATGGAGCGAAAGCACCGGGAGAGTTCCAGTACTGGAAGCCAATGTAGCCTTGTGCGCCGACACCAGCGTTCATGCAGATGGCGTAGATCCAGAAACCGACAAGGGCAACGACCTTGATGAGAGCAAACCAGAATTCGAATTCACCGAAAATGTCAACGGGCAAGAAGTTGACGGCGGTGATTGGTACCCAGAAGATTGTGATGAAGATGCCGATGCTGAGATCTGAGTCCCACCATTGGATGATAAGTCCAGCGGCGGTGAGTTCGAGTGCGTATGTGATGGACCACGAAAACCAGTAAATCCAACCCATGGAGAAACCTAACGAGGGGTCGACAAAGCGGGCAGCGTATTGTGTGAATGCACCGGAAATAGGCAGGTAGGTAGCCATCTCAGCCAAACTGAGCATGACGGAGTAGACCAGAGTACCGACGAAAACGTAAGCCAGGAGCGCGCCAGCAGGACCAGCAGTAGCGATGGAACCTCCGCTAGCAATGAAGACGCCGGTTCCTACAGTACCGCCGATGGCCACGAACTGCAAGTGTCGGGATGAAAGCTTGCGCTGAAGCTCATCCTTGGGGGGTGCGGCCTGCTTCTCGACGTCGCTCGAAGAGTGCGGGACCGACTTGTCCGACCGCTGGTCCATCTTGGGCGTGATCTCCTCAGAGGCGGATGCCATATTGGTGGTGGTATTGGCGAAGGACCCTGGGTGGGGCTTGTGGTTCAAAGTAAGAACAACAACGACGAAGCTGTGATGTATACGATAGATGTCAAGTGCGCAAGAGCCAGGGACGAAAACGATATTTCAATCAAACCACGGTTACCCACCACTCCAGAAAGTGGAGTCATGGCGCAAGACTCCATGAGCCATCATGTTAGCCGTCGGCGTACTCCACGCTCTGGAAAGCCAGTCGACCGTCCAAATTTTCATCGTCGGTCCACTTGGCGGGCAACAGAGTCGTTTTGCCGCGCAAGATGCAGAAGTTGAACCGTGACAGTAGCATGATCGAAATTTTCGAGCCAGGATCACGTCGGCTACGAGCGGGTCGGCGCCGCCAGTTCGCGTCGCCTTGAGCGCGACAGGCCAAGCGGCAATGCTTATCGCGGGATTACCGTGTGGAATGTGTAGCTTTGCCGTTCCGTATGTTCCCAGCAGAAAAATTCTGCAGCTTAGCAGTATCTTTTTTGGGGAACTTTGTGGCGGCCGACGCGTTTCGGGAATAGCGAGAGGGCCGGCCCTTCGTCGGGTCACGGCCTTGGCGGCGAGCGTGTCAGACTTCATCCATCGGGAAACCTCGTCAGGCCTATCATGACTCCGTCGCATGTCACCGCATTCAGCTCACCCCTTTCCCCAGCCGGTGGTTGTAGAGGCTTGCTTTGGTCATGCTGAGTCAAATGCCGCAGACTCTTATTTGCATGGCGTGAAAGCACATAATGCTCTACTTAGGTAGTGTTGTTGCGAGGTTCGCGCGACTTTCACATCGTGAGAGCCCAGTTCCTACATCTATTACACGGCCAGTGGAAGCGACCAGCCAGCGGAGCGAGCTGTCGATACCGACTATTCGTCCAGAACGCATACAAGAATACGATGGAGCCTACCATCTTACGCGGCTAAGAAGTCTCAACAGCAGGCGCAATCATAACTAGCTTTCACACCAGGGTATCATCTTCAACGTCGAAACCTACACCTACTATTAGTCACGTACCGAACGTAGCACAAGACTAGACCCCAGGTTTTT